ATATGATAAGATGAAAACCAAAGCGGGAGCCTAGGAATCGCTCCAATGCAAAATTAAACATTTTTCAGTAACAGATGCAGTCAAAATTGAAAGTCCTCTTTAACTATAGTTATTTCGTGCGCCTTCAATCTTGTAGGATACTGTGCAACGCCTCTGACGCGAAATAGTTGCTTAAAGCGTTGCGGCGCGGCAGGCAACCAGCAGCGTGACACGCGCATTGGCGCCTACAAACCTAACGAGATACTTCACGCGTTGCGGAATGCGTGAAGTATCCCGTTAGGTTTGTAGGAGCCAGTGCGCGTTCTACGCTGCCAACACGCCGCTCCGCTCTGTGTTAGGATCTAATATTTAAACTCGCGGAGTCAGCGTTTTTCAACTCATGATTTTGAAATGTTTGCACTCTCTGCATTGATTATTCCCTTTTAAACTGATGAAAAAGAAATATGTACAACTGGAAAAAATAATGTGTTTTTGTAAATATAATAGTGGTTCCGTATCAAATTTAATGATTTCCAAAGCATTCAAATTTATTATTTTGTGTGTTGGGCTTTTACTGCGCTGCAGCGTGGTGTAAGCGCAACCAAACGTTCAAAATTGGACGTATTTGACTCAAGGAGGTCAATGTACAAATAAGTTAAAAACAAAAAATTGCGTGCTTCTTAGTTTTTTTCCTCTTTTATTAATTTTTGCCATTGCTTGGAAAAGGTTTTACAAATATTTACCACGTTTTAAAAATGTAAATGTTTTTAAAATGAAGTAATCAATTTCATTAAAAAAAAGAATGTACATTTAAAGCACATTTTATATCGGAAATTTCAAGGATAGAAATGAAACCAGTATTTACCAAAGACAATTTGAAAAGATGAATCAAAAGAAGAAATTAACGTTTCATTCAAAATATGAGTTACTATAACAACACCTCATTCTCTCTTAATTTTTTCATTTCGATATTGTCAATATAATTTTACACACGAACTAAAATATGACGCTTGAATTTGATTTTAGTGGACTTTACATTTGTGGACATAAGTTAGTGGACGTTTAAGTAATGGACTTATCAATAGTGTGGGCTTTAGAACTAAGGACGTAAAAATTGTGAACGAAAAGTCTGTGGACGTAAAAAAAGTGGACATAAAGTCCGTGTCCCATGTATAACGCTTTCTAAAAGGAAATTTGCTTTAGAAAGGTTCCTTGTGTTTTCCGCGTCATGGAATGCATTAAAACCTATATTATTGGGTACACGGACTTAATGTCCACTTTTTTTACGTCCACAGACTTTTCGTCCACAATTTTTACGTCCACTTTTAATGCATTCCATGACGCGGAAAACACAAGGAACCTTTCTAAAGTATATTTCCTTTTAGAAAGCGTTAAACATTTAAATTTGCTTGCCGATATTATAATAATAATGTTGTGGGGGGGATCGCGCACAAATGAAGAACACAGTGAATATATGAATAATGAACAATGAATATGTATATCTCTAATTTCTCAAGCTACACTCACAGGGGCCGACCGGATCATCTGGGAATCTTTTCCTCGAGACTGATCTCGCCCATGCGATCACCGAATCTTTTTATGTCAAAACGTGTGCACTTCCGCGACACTGAAGCCTCACGTTTAGACATAAACAAGCGCTAACATCCGACGGACCTATCTCTATCGCTGGCCATGGAAATCCGTGAATTCTCACGAAAAGCCATGACGCAAAGCACGCCTCATCTATGGAGCCGAATGTGGGAAACTTAAGCCTGTAAAGACTTAAGCGTTCCCACAACAATAATATTTGTTCATCCAAATAACTCTCCTTAGTCTGCCATTTCAGTTGGAGCATGTGACAACTCGCCTGCCTTGACGTTACGTGATGTCAGTTACGTTCATGGTAAAGCAAGCACATTGAAAAAAAAAAAAATCTCTTAGATCCAGAATCTAGACGCTTAGACATTTGACAAGTAAGAATACTCTTGACTTAATCGAATTTTTGCTGAAATCTAAAGGGAATTCGCTTAAATTAAGAGGATCGGCTCTCGATTCAAGCAAAACCCCGATTGAATCAAAAGTATTTTTTCTATAGTTTTGTTTAAGAGTCTGGACTCTGGATCCGAGAGACTTCTTTCCAGTGAAGGGATTTAGCTCCAAATAAGATTTTTGAGATAATTATTTCTCCTTTTTGAAACAACTTTCTAATACTTACATATCTCTTATGAGAGCTCACGTAAAATCAAAGTTAGGAGATCCGATATATTTGTAAGAAAAAAACCATACAGCGAATCCGGTACATGAGGAATCATGGCATATTCTGGTGGGTACCTCCTCTGACATTCGAGAATTTCCTGACTGAAATTACTTTTACGGACAAAGGATGCTGTAATTACACTTTGCACCAGGCAAGAAGCACTGAATTGAGTATAGGAATCCGCTTTGTTGAAAATCCGAGGCTCTAAATGGAAGTTGAGTTGGATCCATTAACGGCGGAGTTTTGTTCAACGGCTCGCTGGATGATTAAGTCCCGAAACTTACTTCATCTTCAGAGAAGCAGATGAAATCTTCCATTATCCGTAACTTGCGTTGCCGCGGCCGCCTGAGTCTCCAGAAGAGCACTCCCGTCCTTAGGAACAACGTCGTATGAACCCTCGGGCCTTGTCACATTTCCTTTGACATATTACAGATTTTTGAAACATGTTTTAAATATATTCTTTTCAATTTCTTGGAGAATCATTTTTTTAAATTTCATCCGTAGGGCCTCAAAATTTCAATGAAAACTATTCAAAACTTGTTTCGATAATAAAAAATTTCCTGAAAGGAAATTAGGCAACATTCGAAAGCAAACACACCATTTTTCCTCAACACGACAGAACACTGCTTGAGCTTCATTTGAAATTGTATGACGCACTATTCTTGTATAATTGTAGAATATACTAGCATGAATGAGGTTCACAAATTTGGAAGCATGTCCATCATTCTTGAGTTTTTTTTCTTTATGCCGAGTTTTTTCTTTTTCCCTTAATTTTTACGGAAAATTCTCTCGGGAAAATGAGGGAATTTCTTTCGTTTTCCTCCTGGAAAAAACATGAATCCTTAAAAATTCAGGAAAAATCAACTTGATCATGTTTTGCTTCGAACCGAGCCAATTCGGCCCACAAATGGACTGCATTTTGCAATAAACAACGTTTGTACCATTAGTTTCCCTATGCACATAAGTGTTTTTTTTCAGATGAGCCAGAATGTATAGTTCCAAATTGCAAAATGCAGTCCAAATGTTATCTTAGATTTGATTCTAGAGCGAGGAGAGAAGAAATGCCCGCTTTTAATCGCCAATTCCCTGAAAATTCCTCGATTGAAATATTTTAATTTCCTGGTGAATCTTGGTAATTTCCAGTTTGTTCACAGAAAGGGACTTTAGCGCACTTAAGCCTAGGTAAAGTGCTTAGCACCTATCTTAGCACTTGGAGGACTTTCCAAGGAAAAGCTTTTTTTCGAAGTTGGCTCACGGAATAATCAGAATTCAATTGTTTGGTAGAATATGCTCTCCCTTATTCCAAGAAATAGGTTACGAAGGGTTCCGTTCATTATTGTGCAAAAAAGGAGTGAACTTGCACTTTGATCCAAAAATTTTGATTCACGCACGTGGTGGATTTAGACCTTGGTTCGGTGTTTCTGAATCCGATTTCTTCAGATCTGCCAACTTAAAATCCTCGAAATTTCAAACAGTGCTCTCTTTTTTATTGCAACCTCGAACTTAGTTTTGAAATATGTATATGATAACCATTTCAAAAAAGTAGGTTCAAATAAGTTGAACTTCCCAGAGGTTGAGCAATTTTTCGAGGAAAACAAAGTTCAGGACTACGAAATTGCGCATTTACTGTCATCAAGCAGCACAAAAATACGATTTTTTTTGCTTTCAGTTTAATATGCTGTGTAGAGGAGTTTTTTTTTTCTTACATCGAGGACTTTCACAAAAAAGTTATCTGATCATGGGTGCCAGGTATGAACAATAATTTTCTGATCCAAGAATTTTGAGGTTGTTGTACTCGTCTATTTTATTTCCGTTTAATTTTGATTCTTCAAATTGTTCTCCTTCCTTTATTCGTCGTCTCCTGCACGAAGGAGCGTACTTAAACTTCAATGTTGCCAAACGTTCCCTTGCAAATTGCATTTTTACCGGGAGAATTTTGGATATTTTTAACTGAAGATTTCACTGATTTTACTTATGATCTAAAGCAAAAATCAGACAAATTTTGAAAATAAAAATTCCGAAGGTATAACCTCGTAAAAAAATTGAATTGTTCGAGTCAATTTTGTAACCTTTGAATGTAGTAACCTCTCTTCGTCCAGGAAACGACGTATTGATGCTCCCAAACGAATGAAACCCTGAGCTATTGTTTTACGCTTCTCAGTTGAACCGCATTTTACAATAAGAAACTACAAATTCTGGCTCAGTTTAGGAACAAAGCACGCACCATTAATTTTACTATGCACAAAAGTGTTTTTACGGTTGAGTCAGAGATAATATTAAAAAAGAATGTAAAATGTAGTCAAATTTTCCTCTCTCCAAACATGACGATCTTTTCGACGAATTTCTCTAGAACTTTTAATCAGGGTGCTTAAACCAAAAACAGCTCCTGAACATCGAGTCTCAAATTATTTCAGACGAAAAATTACGTTTCTTCGAACAACAAATCCTGTGTATATTTTTCTAAATAAGCAGATACTTATGTAATTTATCTCGCAGATAGAAGTGCGGTCCGGTTCTAGGTAATCTTCAACTCAAGGGCTTTTCGTCGATATTTACGTTTTGACTGCATAAAACGTCATTGTGAAACGATCGCCTGATTTTAAATCATTCTTTCCTCTATTATTTAAAGGGCCTCGCCGAGCCGTGTCACAAAATCGGTCGGAGTTTCGTAGTTCCGTAGTGCCGGAAAAAAAATAGTGAAAAAATCCGCATTTCAAGTTGGACCCCGTTAAAAGAAATTGCGTTAAAAGAAGTGCGTTCTATCATGTGTTCACCAACTCGGTTCCGGTTCTTACTTCCGGTCATATTTGGAGTGGTGACATCCGTTTCCGGTTTCATCGACACCTACGGTCACGGCCGTATAAAAAGCAGCCTTGCCTCCGGACTGACGGAAGACGATGCCCTCTTCCTGACCCCGTACATCGAGAAAGGTCAAATCGAGAAGGGACAAGAGCTCGCCAAAGTCCCGCCGCTCCTCAAGAACGTCGAGAGTTTCGCCGGGTACCTAACAGTGAACAAGACCTACAACTCAAACCTCTTCTTCTGGCTGTTCAAAACCCAGCAAGGCGACTGGAAGAAGGTGCCAACGGTCGTTTGGCTCCAGGGCGGCCCGGGTGTCAGCTCTCTCTTCGGGCTCTTCACAGAATTAGGACCGTTCTCCGTCACAAAGAAACAGAAGTTGAAAAGACGTAAGTGGTCCTGGAACCGGAAGTACAACCTGGTGTTCTTCGACCAACCGGTCGGTTCCGGCTACAGCTTCACGGAGGACGACCAAGGCTACGCTCGAAATGAAATCGATGTAGCGAGGGACCTCTACGAGGCTCTGGTCCAACTCCACAAACTTTTCCCGAGTCTCCAGAAGAACAAACTCATAGTCAGCGGAGAATCTTACGCCGGGAAGTACATCCCGGCAATCGGGTACAAGATCTACCAGGAAAACCAAGTCTCCAGCTTCAAGATGAACCTGGGTGGACTCATGATCGGCAATGGTTTTACCAGCCCCGGCGACATGATGCACTACAGCTCGTTCCTTTACCAGATCGGGCTCATCGACGGGAGGACGCAGCGCCTTCTAAAAGTCTTGGAGGACAACATTCGCGCCCACATCAGGGCAGGGCGATGGAGCGACGCCATGGGGATTTTCAACTTCGAGTTCGGGATGATCCTGTCAGAGGTCGGTTTCGAAAACCCGTACGACTTCACTAACGATAAGATCGGGATCGACGGACCTGAAGTTCAATTCATCCAGAACGAGAAGACGAGGAAGGCGATTCATGTCGGGAACCACGCTTTTAATGACTATTTCAAGCCGTACATGTTCTTGTCGTCGGACTTCATGCAGTCTGTGAAACCGTGGGTGGAGGAGTTGCTGACGGCGCAGGAGTTCCCGATCCTCTTCTACAGCGGGCAGCTGGATATTATCGTGGCGTACCCGCTGAGTGTGGCCTTCTACGATTCGCTCCAATGGCCGGGAGCCCTCGAGTACCACAAGGCTGAGAGGTGCAATTTCCACGTCGGGAGCCAGGTTGCTGGCTACTTCAAGACGGCCGGTACGTTCACCGAGGTCATGGTCAGGAATACGGGTCACATGGTGCCCACCACGCAGCCCGAATGGGCCTTTGCATTGCTGGATCGATTTATTACCAACAGTTCTTCGTTCACGTGCTGAGCACTTTATTGGAAATTCAAGTGACATTTGGAAGTAGGAATTTAATATATTTTAGGTGATTTTAACTGTTGCTAAGATTGTGCATGGCGCTCAGTGGAACGAGTCACTTGCACAAAGTTTGAAAACTTGAAAGCTGAAAGCTCAAATTTTCGTCACTATATAACTTAAAGCTCTGAAAGTGGTTTTATTTGTTACACCGACAAGTTGTCTTCATGAATTATCCCTTAAAATTTAAAGTGCGACGGTATTAATATCAAAATTTCCAGTTTTGGCCAAAAATTTAAAGACAAGCCTCTACCATGGACTCGTTCCGGTGTGCGGGATTCCTGAACGTCCAAGAACCTGAGGCTGTATTGGACGTATTTCTATCAAACGGAACTATGTGCATTATGACATGAGCCCTGTTATGCACATATTTTAATGGGTCTCAGGGCTCACGTCTAAATGCACATAGTTCCGTTTGGTAGAAATACATCCTATTCATAGTCGTTCCTTAACCAGCTTCTTCCCTTAAGTGGCCCCACCCACATGCTTTACATTGTGATTAAGGGATCACTGGAAAAAATGGAATCTTAAATTTGCCGCCAAGAAGTATTTCTTCTTAAATCAAGAATTTAACTGGTTAATATAAGCTACTTTTTTGCTTAACCCAAGCATTATTTTTCTTGAATCAAGAAAAAGTCAGCTTAAAGCAAGATAAAGAAATTCTTGGCGGCAAATTCAAGAATCATCATGCTTGATACAAGCTACTTCTTTTTTCAGTGATGTTTAAGGAAGCCCTCAAAATTGCATCATGAAAAAGACAATGTTTGCCAACCTCGAAGAAAAGTAAGAAGTATGAATTTGGGAATAGATCCTTGCGAAGGATTGCACTGATTTGTCATTACAAAAAATACAAAATATGAAAGAAAGTATAATGCGAGTTAGTTTATGAATTTTAAGGTAAGTTCAAGCCTACCTTATTTTTGGCAAAATCATGGAATTTTTTCTTTTGTATTTTGCTCTTTTTCTAAATATGGGGAATCATTGTAATATCCCTTGCAAGTGTCCATTTCCAAAGGTATACTGATGAATTTTATTCGAGGGTGGCAAAAATTGTACTTCTCATGATAATATTTTGAGGACTTCCTCAAACCTAGTTACCTATATCAACTTTTCAGTCTGATGTAAGATTATTTGAAACTTGAAACCTTTTTTGCTAAAGATGAATTTGTGGGGAGTAGTTCCTCTCGGTTAAGCTTGATCCAAACATAATAATCATTGTTCCTTCCAAAAAGTAATGATAATACATTTTTTTACCACAACTAAGCGAGTTTTTATTACAATTACCGATTTATGTGTAAATGAGACAATATCAACGGTTAAGTAAGTACGAACGGGTAAAGCGAAAGGAGCTTAAATGCATTGAGTGAGAAATAATTTTATAGAATTGCTTATTTGAACTGCAACAATAGAGCATTGCATCTGGCATGGATTATCGTTGTCCTTTTAACGTAGGGACGTACCTCAATGTCCACATGAGCCATGTTTTACGTATACATCCATGCTTTCTGAGCTTCATGTGGAAATTGAAATACACTCTTACGTCAGAGAAGCGACATTATGTTTGACCAGAATCAGCCAGTCTGTATTTCACGTTCAATATTGTCCTCCACCATTTTATTTTTTAAGAGAAAACCAAACAAAACACCGCTGAAATTTCCCCTAAATTATGAGAGAATACTCAACAAATTTCAAGCCAAAATGTTAACCCTTTATTGCACAATGATGCTTATTGGCAACATTTGGTTTTTTATTTTTTTAAAATCAGGATGTAGATGATTTTTTGATGTGATTGTTTATGCCGGTCGGCATCGGTATAGCGGATATGAATAAATTTCCCCCCACTCCCAACTCAGGGCTGCCAACTGTAAAAAAACGTTTTTTTGTCGGGTTGGTCGGTCTGAGGGTCACCGGTGAGGTCACCACTTTCGCTGGTCGGTGGTTGGCTGCCCTGTGGTGCTGATGGGCTGGGAAAATTCATGCTGTTAGGTTGCTTTTTGTAGTTTTTCGATAGCCAATCAGAATCATTACAGCATTATTACGCAGTTTTATGGAGATCAAAAAGTAAATGTTGCCAATCGGCATCACCGAGCAACTAGGGGACAACTTTTGAGTTTATAGGTCATGTTTACTCAAGTTATCGTGCGCGCGAGTACATGCGTTAAACGCGCGTTTCAGTCAGTTTTATTAGTTTTTGCCAAGAAAATGCTGGGTTGAGTGCCTGAAACAATGGTTAAAGAGGAGGAGCGTTTGCGAATAGACAAAATCGTCAAGTGTCTTGGTGAAAATCCAGAGAAATCTGATGATTCAGACCTCTGATGTTCTTCCTTCTGATGTCCTTCTGATGTTCTTTTTTCAATGAATAAATTCCATTTCTCTACATTATTTTCCACATTGAGGTCATTCTTTTCATTTTTTTACACCTAGGGTATTTAAACTTTAATTAATTTTTTTAAAACTAAATATTTTGGTCGGACCTTGGACCTAGGTCTAATTTTTTGGTACGCTTGGAAACGCAAGAGTTTTTCCTCCCCGGAAAGCCGTAGCATTCAATTTTACCTACGATTTCTTATACTTATTCTTTCTTTTATCATTCTAAATTAAAACTCCAATTTATTAGCTCAAAATTTTCCACTTCCAAGTCTTTCAATTTTTTTTGAAAATTCTCAAAGTGTTCGGTGATGCCGTTTGGCAACATTTGGTTTTGTGCCCCAAAAAAGGTCAAAAGGTCAAAATTTTCAAAAACGGCAATAGACGTGTCCAATTCTTTTCCATAACCTACCACATATATTTTTTTCATCAAAATCGGTGATCCAAAATTAATTCGTGCAACAAAGGGTTAAGTGGATTTCTGCAAAAAAAATTAATCGTGCGAGTGGAATAGAGAAGTTTCAAAATGGAAAGGCTAGGACTGTTTAAATACGTCTAAATTATTACTTTATTCATTAACAGATGCGTGTTCTATGTCGAAACGTCCAAAAATGTCGGATAAAGTCCGGAAAAAATGTAATCAAATTCTCCAAAAAAAATTTTAAACAGTTTTTTAGTTAATACGTGAGTTATCGTAAGAAATTTTATATGTCATTGAGGGTTCGACCGCGTAGCGGCCAGAGGCACAACCCCTTGGTATCATACGATTTGAGAAAATGATCTCAATCTGAAGAGGCACTTATGATTTTAATAGTAGCGTGCGCGGTATCCGACAATTTATCTTTGACTTGAGTGCCTTCAGTTGGTTTTTGCCTCCTTCTTGAATTAAAATCGGTGCGAGAAAGTGTATTGTTGTTCTGAATTAAAAATTAACTTTAATGCAAATTCAAATTAAATCCGGAAGGTGCGTGAGTTTTTTTTAAATCCATTTTTACCAGGGATACATTCTCGGGATTTGTTATAGTTTTTTTCCCAGTGCTGAATCAAAATCAAACTGTTTAAAGATGCGTGAAGCATTGAAACTATTCTTGCTAACGGTGATGTTTTCGTTAACATATTCTTTTTCCGGGCTCCTTGATGATTACGGCCGAGGTAAGAATAACGTCCCTGAGGCCACGTCCGGCCTAACGGAGGACGATGCTCTCTTCTTAACACCTTACATCGAAAAAGGGCAAATCGAAAAGGGACAAAACCTGGCCAAAGTACCCACGATTCTCAAAAATATAGAGAGCTTTGCCGGCTTCATAACCGTCAACAAATCCACCGACTCGAACCTCTTTTTCTGGCTATTCAAGAGCCAGCAAGGCGACTGGAAGAAGAAACCATTGGTGATTTGGCTCCAGGGTGGCCCTGGTGGCAGTTCTATGTTCGGTCTCTTCACAGAGTTAGGACCATTTTCTGTGACCAAAGGTCAAAAGCTGAAACGGAGGAAGTACTCCTGGCACCAGAAATACAACCTAGTGTTCATCGATAACCCTGTCGGAGCCGGATTCAGCTTTACGAAGAAAGATTCAGGATACGCAACCGACGAAAGAGACGTGGCCAGAGACCTCTACGAGCTGTTAGTCCAGCTCTACAAACTCTTCCCGACTCTACAAAGTAACAAGCTATTCATGACGGGCGAGTCGTACGCCGGAAAGTACATCCCGGCAATCGCCTACAAGATCCACAACGAGAACAAAGCGTCCACCTTCAAAATCAATTTAGCCGGGCTCATGATCGGCAACGCATTCACGGATCCTCTAAACCTAATGACCTACTCTACGTATCTCTATAAACTCGGATTGATAGACAAAGCAACCGAGAATGATTTCAAAAGGAGGGAAGACGAAATCCGAGCCCTTATCAGATCTGGTCAGTTCATATCCGCGGCTAGTAAGTGGGGTTGGGAGATGAATGAATTCGAATATCTCTCAGGGCTTCGCGGATTGTACGATTTCGTAAACGATGACATAGGTAATGACGGTCCTGAGATTTACTATATAAATGACCCAGAAACCAGGAAAAACATCCACGTGGGGAGCTACACTTTCCAAAATGGCTATGCAACATACGAGCACCTCCAAGAGGACATGTTCCAATCGGTCAGGCCGTGGGTGGAGGAACTTTTAACAGCTGAGGAGTTCCCTATTATGTTTTACAGCGGTCAGCTTGATATTATCGTTGCCTACCCTCTCAGTCTTGGATTCTACGATGCTTTGGAGTGGCCGCATGCTAGCGAATATCATAAAGCGAATAGATGTCAATTCAAGGTTGGCAACGATGTGGCAGGCTACTACAAAACGGCTGGAACGTTCACTGAGGTACTGGTTCGGAATACTGGGCACATGGTACCCACTACGCAACCAAAGTGGGCCTTTGAACTTTTGGACAGGTTTATAACGAATAGTTCTTCCTTCGTATGTTGAAAATGTCTTATGTGAAACACGGGATGAATTTTTTTCTCAGCTTGGTCGCTTTCTAAATATCTTCTTGATGTTGCATCACGGGAAGCTCAGAGCATCTATTTATTTTCGTTGCTTGCATTCATACAACTTATGTCATTTCTTTGTTCGGGTAGAGAGGAAAAATTCTTTGATGATGTCACCACTAATAGTCGGCCATGATGGAGCACGCCGACGGTGAAACCACAAAACCACGCATTTCAGTTGCGCCGCTGCAACTTCTCGTCCTTTTTCATTTATTTTCTCATTCGTTTTTTCTTTTCATTCTTGTTTTTTTTTTCGAAAAAAAGCTATTCCACAAAATTTCGTATGGTCTCTATTTATTATTACAAAAATACTCTCTGAAACTTCTAAACAAAGATATCTGTAAAGTAACCGTCTATTAAAAGAATAACGTAACAGCAAAGGCTGAAACAACGCAATAGAAATACGTGTTTTCGTAGTTTCTTCCTCCATGATCCGAGAACGCAGAAATTAGGAAATTAATTGAATTTTTCTATTATTGAGCGATTTGACGATGAAAATGCAAAAATGCGAATCTCGGTTGCAGTGTTTCAAAATCTCCGCCCATACTTTATATTCTTTAAATACGCCCAGCCATCATTGTGGCTTGACAGTTTCACATAGTATTCATCACACAAAAAATGTAAATCACCGAAGTATTATAAAAATCACGTCTGGTTGTTTTCCTCGGAGAAAATAAATTATCACAGGAAGTCCGCAAATTTGCATATCAAGATACGCAATTCTGCAGTTTCACCATCGAATTGCGACCATAATTAACTGATTAATACTTAACGTGGCTGTAAAAATCAATGGACAACTTTCCTTAGATCTGGGTAATCCGTTGGCTATAATTTATTTTTCTGAAAGTAAATTATGTAAGCATTTTGGCAGTAGCATAACTATCTGATGTTAAACATCAACGGAAAAACCGAAAAAGCGCGAATTTCCAAAGCACTCCTCTTTTCAAAAGTGTAAGGCTTCATGGTATTTTTAGCTTCATTAAATGACCGATTTGTTGCTAATTTTATGGGGTGCCGAAAAAGCTGATGACGTAATTTAGAGATAGAGGAAACTATTTTTCCCGATAGATAAATCCTCTCCTTGTTCTCAGTGATATTGGTTCTGCAAGCTAACATTTCCACAAAATAGGTAATTCAGTGCAATTTGCGAGGTAATCTTTAGATCTGACACTTTCGCAAAGGCAACGTGTCACACCGTTGTTCTTTCTTTAAAAAAAATAACACTTGAGGTTTTATCGCTTATGAAAAGTTCACTGCACATTAATCCTCACTTCAGATTTCAAACCTCCTTCTCCAAACAATTGATACCAGTTGCTCCTATTGCTCGAATAACTATGATGGTTTTATAACCATTACGCGTTAACGGATTTGATCTGTAACTGACTGCTCGGTTCAAAAAGTGAAATAAATAAAAATAAATTGAGTAACATCGTGTGTTAATTTCCAAAGTTTCAATTTTTTATGCGGTTTCATTCGTGGTACCACATAGTACATTTTCAATGAAACCAGTCACAAAATATAATATGAATTTAGACCATGAAATATTGTTGCACGTTCACGTCTTTCTATCGATCTTGATTCCGGTTTCCGGGTTTTTCGATGATTACGGCCGCGGTGGCCACAATGTACCAGTAACTACATCCGGACTGACAAACGACGATGCTCTGTTCTTAACACCTTACATCGAAAAAGGCCAAATCGACCGAGGACAAAACCTGGCCAAGGTACCACCGATGCTCAAAAACGTCGAAAGCTTCGCCGGTTATTTGACCGTTAACAAATCCACAGACTCAAACCTTTTTTTCTGGCTGTTTAAGAGCCAAAAAGGTGACTGGAGGAAACAACCGCTGATTGTTTGGCTTCAAGGCGGCCCTGGTTCTAGCTCAATGTTCGGGCTCTTCTCCGAAATCGGACCATTCTCTGTGACCAAAAAACAAAAACTGAAACGGAGGAAGTACTCCTGGAACCGGAAATACAATGTGGTGTTCATCGATAACCCTGTCGGAACTGGGTTTAGCTTCACGAAACAAGACTCAGGATACACAACTGACGAAACAGACGTAGCTAGAGACCTCTATGAGGCGTTAGTCCAGCTCTTGAAACTCTTTCCGTCTCTGCAGGGCAACAAAGTTATCGTCGTAGGTGAATCATACGCTGGGAAATATGTTCCAGCGATCGGATATAAGATCTATCGACAAAACCAAGCGTCGACTTTTAAAATTAATTTGTGTGGGCTTATGCTTGGAAATGCTTGGGTGGACCCGGCTCATATGTTGGACTTTTCTTCGTACTTGTACAAGCTAGGATTGATAGACGAAGCAGCTAAGCGTTCCTTTCGAGAAAAACAAGACGAGATGAGAGCACACATCAGAGCGAAAGAATATCTGCTTGCCCAAAAATTAAGCACTGATTTAATAAGCGAATTCTTGCGTTTGTCCGGGTTTAAATATTTGTACGATTTTTTTCACGACGATATAGGACTTCATGGTCCTGAGATGATCTTTGTTGACGGTCATGAGACTCGAAGAGCGATACATGTTGGAAACTATACCTTCAATGACGGAGAGGAGACCCTTCGACACCTCAGGGGTGATATTATGCGATCGGTCATGCCTTGGGTGGAGGAACTTCTGGAGGCACAGGAGTTTCCGATCATGTTCTTCAGTGGTCAACTAGACATCCTTGTAGCTTATCCAATGAGTGTAGCTTTCTATGACGCGCTACGATGGCCGCGTGCCAGTGAGTACCACAGAGCGAAAAGATGTCAGTTTAAGGTCGGAAATGATGTAGCAGGCTATTATAAATCGGCGGGAACATTTATAGAGGTGTTAGTACGGAATACTGGCCACATGGCGCCCATCTCACAACCCAGGTGGACTTTTGAACTTTTAGACAGGTTCGTCACAAACAGTTCCATGTTTTGGTGTTAAAATATGAACTGTCTAGATTTGACGATATGATAGTGCTAAAATACCTACAATACAGATTCTCAACACTTTTGAGGGGTCTCACTCTTCACTCAATCAGTCAGTGTGGTTCTACGGAGCCAAACAAATAACGAATTTGAAGCCAAAATGTGCATGATTTCGAAATCTTTTCCATTTTTGATAGTGAGAAACAATAAATGATTGGATCATAATTAGATTTTAAAATGGTCCATCAAATGGCTTATTCAAACCGTATACCCAGTATGACGATTTTAAAAGTTGGCAGCACTATTTTCCTCCATTTAAATTCGTTGAAAATGGCGTTTTCGGTGACCGAGGCTGCCGCACCAAGAATCGATTGTCCTACATAGATTTGAATATAGGAAAAACTACGTCACCAAGTTTCAAGAATCACCACTGTATATACTACCGCGTAAAACTTGTCCGATTGTCCTATACGTCTGAGAAGATATAAGCTGATGTTCTTCCCATTTGTTGGATGGTCCTATTCCTGTCAATTTTTTGCTGCAGAATTTAATAATTTCCTACTCAATTTTGTACTAATTGTTCTCAAAAGTGGATTTTCTCCGAAAACTCTATTTTTGAGTAAAATCTCTATTTTCCGGAAGACCCTGTCAATTGGGAAAAAATCAAAATATTTTCGGACTCAGCACTTGACTCGTGCATATCGCGTGCCCAGTTTAGTTCAAAAAGTCCCCCTTGTGTTGTCAGTATTTTAGCAAAATAGTTTACACGTCTCCTGCGGTCCTCCAAATTTTATTTAGGTTAACACTAGATGAATTGGACTACATTTTACAATTCGGAACTACAATTTCTGGCTCATTTGAATCAACAGTTATGAGAATGGGGTAACCAATGATACACACGTTGTTTCTAATCGAAGCCAAAAGTTGTAGTTCCTGATTTAAAAATGTAGTGTTTATGTGTCATTTGTTCCCCTGTGCAGATAAAAGTTTTTATGTATGAGCCAGAAGTTGTAATTTTTTTATTGAAAAATCAAGTTTATTTGAGGGTCCATAAAGTTACGAGGTACGTCTCTGAGAATTCAAAACTTCTTAACTTTTTTTTCAGAACCAAAAAATCCTACGCAAAAATATGACAGCAACTAACCGCAGTAGGACGATATTCTACTGAATTTAACCACTCGATAATTATCTCAACCTAAGTTTGAGAATCACGTGCACTGTGAAGAGCAATGACGAGGCGTGAATGATCGATCATCGAAATTTTCCCATTTGAAGCTGCGGTGAAGAATCCATTATTGAAGTGTTCGTTATCAACACCTTGATCATCGATCCTATTCCATAGCTTTGAATGGTAGATACATCGATGTATCGTAAAGCATGCCACGCCACTGATAAAGAGCCCTCACTCGTTAAACCTGATATTGAATCTTACATCAGACATTTCATCCCCTTCCTTGGACTTGTCATGTTTTTGTGAATACATCCTAGGTGTTGTATCGGTATCTGGTATGGCTGTTTTTCTGCCTCTGATATTGACGATTTAATGCAGAACCAACCTAACTGCATTTCACGTTGTCTATAATTTACTCTTCAATTTTACTTTTCCAACAGATAACTAAGCCATTTAAGTCCTTTAATTTTTCTGCAAATTCACCGAGGATAATGAAGAATTTACTGAATAAATGTCGATTTTTAGTGTTGTGTAGATTTGCACGAAGCAAACTAAAGAGTAGAGAATATTAGGCAAGGTCTAATGCAGTTAGACAGACACCAATTACATTGGTTCATACAAATGATACTAGCAATTGAGTAATCTCAATTGCTAGCGATGGCCGAAGTGCGGAACCACGTATGTCAATTTGCGACATTACACACTTCCAGTCATACTTTAGTTTTTCATTGAAAATCCACTCAACTTAATTTCTTGCAACTTCCTTGATTTTTATTCGCTGTTAGCAAAATATTCCGTGGAAATTTTAAGCTTTACTCTTGACTTGTTTCTCTTCAAAAAAATAGGATAGGAGCAGAGATTTTGAGCATCGCAATGGGGATACGTGGCTCGCACTAGTCATCGATAGGCATTGTGATGGAACGATGTACGTTACCTCGCAGGCAGTGTCGCAAATGGGTATTTGTCATTACTGTTTTTTTTTTTTTAAATTTGTGCATGCGCAATCGTCCAACAGTAGCAGAAATTGATCCAAATAAAAAAGCAAATTTCAGACGTTTCTCACCTTTGATGATTCCATATAAAATTGTTGGTCATAGACCCCATTCCTGTGCGAAATGTTGAGACTTTAACTCTTAACTTACGAAAACTACCACGCTTAGGTACACACATGTGGATCCAGGAGCGCTTTGCACTTAGGTGTTCATAATCAATCCACTATTTAAATGTATCTTTGTGCCACATGCAATTGATAACCAATGGAAAAATTATAAATTGTAACAGAAGAAGAAATATAGTTTTAATAAATTTTGAAATTTTCAGGTAACTTCTTTCTCATTTTAAAAATCCTTAACCCTCCCCTCCTTTAAATTTAAATTCTGTTGCCTAAAATCCGTACCCATACTTTTGCTCTCTTAAACAACTTATTTTCCTGGCGAGACTCTAATTTAGTTTTACGAAGTGAGCATTCGGCGGTACAGTACCGCCGTAGAATATCGGCGGTGTGAGTCGGCAATCACATAACTCGGTTTGCGACGTCGCAGACTTCCTGTCATACTTTGCACTCGAACGCTCAACACTCAGCACTTGCATACTCAAACACCGTGTTACCGTGTTTCAAGTAAAACCAATATAATTTTTAGTGATATTTTTCAATATTATACGAGTTAATGGTAAATCATTACGTTTACCAGATATTTGGTTAAATATAAAAGAACAGTTCTTCAAAACGTCTTTTTTCGGGATTAAAGGCATCTTTAAATCTACCTTAATCCCACCGTTAAACAAAAATGAATGTGCTTCATTGAGGAGAGGTGCTGTTCAAGAAGTGATTATAAATACTAACCGAAAAGCTACGTTCTAAATTCATTAACGCCAAGCCCCACATCAAGCCTGTGCCTTCATGAATTATGAATTATGAAATTAGGACCATAAAAGCGTATAAAACTCCGCAAAAAGAGTAGATTCCGCTCCATAATAGCGTAAGTACGCCACTTTGTAAGGAGTATACTGCCCTGCTGAGGAAAAACGTCGCATGAACCTTTAGGCGTTGCCAAAATTCCTTTGATAAACACGAATTTCCTGGTAAACTTGTGAATATTTTCCCCCAAAAGTTTCAGACAATTTGTACGCAATTTAATTTAAAATTTCCGCAAATTTCAAAGAAAAAAGTGCATGAATGTCGTCAAAAATACATGTTTTATCTAGGGAAATTTGGCAACTCTCGAATGTTCATATGGCGTTCCTCCTTAGCACGGCAGTAAAGGTCCCGCTCCCTAGTCATAGCACTCGGAGTTTTTGGGCGCTACGTAGACCCCGGCACAGAATTCCACTCCGAAATTGTTTACAGGGCATTTGTCTTTTTTCAACACTACGGATCACACCTTGGATGTATTTCCAGAAATCTTTTCTGTAAATACATCCAAAACATGGTCCGCAAAATAAAACCATCGTAAGTACGTAGAACATTTGCGAAAAATTCCGAGTAAATATGGTCTCCATGCGTCAGAGATCTAAGAGAAACTTAGGCATAAATAAGGCTGGTGAACTGAGCTTAACTGAAAGTTGCTGACTGAAGAGGCAAGGGTACATTAGTTCGTGCTCAAAAGCCATAACATTCGCGCCTTCTGTTTGAAATGCTCCCCCCTCCCTCCCCAAAGCCCAGAGGACAGGGTCGCGTTAACGTTGCATCACTTCCGCTGCATTCTACTTCCCCCTCTTTCGCCAGGCGGAAATTGTCAAGTCAACAATTTTCTCTTTTGTAGCGAAAGCCCACTATCCCGGCAGAATTTGTTGAGCGGCGCTGCTAAATAAATATGCAAGACGCCGTTTGAGTCCATTTACATGAACATAAAAATGAAAGCAGCATCCTTGGTGTTAAAAATTACAGTAACTTTATACATGAACCTGTGTCACACTATCAAAATACTCCATCAAAATGTCAAGGTCAAGTGCTGTGATTGGCCCAAGTCATCGAATAAGCCAATCACAACCCCTGACCTTGAAGATATTTTGATGGTTAGCTTTGATAGTGTGACACAGGCTGGAGAGTACGGACATGTCGGTAATTTCGAGGTTGGGTCTTGGAGCTTTTAGTAGTACCCACACAGGCAGTCAAACTATGAACTCAAATTACCAAGTATAATTTGTATTAAAATTGTTATGACCCGTTGGCGTCGTTTGCAATGACTTAGGTTTTGCGTAAACTTACTCTTTTTTGTGGAAACACGCTCATTTATGAACATTTTTGGAAATATTGGTTTGATATTGGAGTCTGAAGGATGGCAGTGACATTCTTGTATTCGAAGATTGGCTGCCCTTTTGGGTTTCAGAGCTGCATACTTCGACATATCCACTATCTCTATATGAAGGTACTCTAGGTGCTGCTAAAACAATGTACAAGACGCCGTTTGAGTCTTTTCATATGAAAATAAATATGGAGGCGTCAAATCCCTGATGTTGAAAATATTAGAGGACTTAAATAAGATAAGCGAAGTTAAACCGAATGGATTGCAATTAGACACATTACAAAAATTCATCTGGACAATTAAGTCTAAATTCATTTATGGAATGCATGTCTCAAAGTGAAAATTGCAAAATAGATTCCGACAGCCAGGAATGCAGATACTTTCCGGCCGTAGCGGTAGCGTAAGACGAAAGACAAAATGCCAGATTTTATAGATACTTTCATTTTTCAGGATATTTCTGCGCGAAAACCCTTTTTTATATTCTTCCAGGTAGGAGAAGGGAGAAGAGGGGTGTTGTTGTCGTTGGTTTTTTTTTTTTTTTTTAAAGTGTAACGGGACTATTAGTTATGAATTTCGATAAGAAGGTGAGACGGCAAAAATTTGGGGGAAGTCTCGGAACTTTCTAAGCCCTGACTTATAATAAACAAAGAAAAGTCAGAGAAAAAGTTTTAAAGAAGTTTGTAATTGCTTATGAGTGAATAAATACATTATCAACCGAATAAAATGCACATTAAAAATATTAATTTACCGCCCGTGCGAAAAAAGAGCCTAAGTATAGAGCAAGTATGCTATGAGTTAGTAAAAATTAAGTAACTGATGCCAGAGCGTAGAATGGTGTTCTACGATCATTTTGAAAGAAATACGACAGAAAATGTCAAACCAAACCAAAAAACAGTGACTCGAAGCCTCAAGCTAAAACACTTAATTCCGAGGTGAAGCTACTTTATACTTTCAAACCTACCACGCTAAAAGCACGAAATTACCGCACTCCACCCGCACATAAATGTACAAAACCGCTTATAACTAATTCTTTAGTACGCTCAATAGTGTTTTCTTACGACATCTTAAAATCTGATTTTGCCACCCAACTCCACAAAAGCAGCTCTATTGAGAAGTTCGCCTCCGTGAAGTAAGGTCCCCTTTCTTGTGAACATGCCTTGCGGCGCATTTCTTGACAGCGTTCAAAAGTTCAAGCTTCACCTCCAAGTCTCTTCTCCCTCACTTCATCACAAATGTTTTCCTACCAGTTAAAGGAATTTGTCGTTACCCCGACGAAAGAAGGTAACTACATTTCAACGTCGCCAAATTTTCTCTCACCGATTGAAGTTTTTCCAGAGAACACCTTGGCGTTTGTTGCCAAAACTTTTACTGATTTTACTACAGATCACACGGAAAAATCAGTAAAATTTCGGACGAAAATTGCTCGACGGTATTTTTGTCAAAAATGTAACGCTTAAAGTCGATTTTGCAATCTCGGAATGGAGATACGTACTTTTGTCTGGAATACGACGAATTGGAGGAGACGAAGCTGAATAATGCTGTCTTACCGAAGAAAGTTGCATGAGCCTTCAAACGTTGCAAAATTTCCTCTATCCAAACCGGATTTCCAGGGAAATCTGTGGATGCCCCCCCCCTCATTTTTCAGGGATTTTTATTCACGATCAGATCTAAAATATCTGAAAATTTAAGAGAAAATATGAATAACTCTCATTGAAAAAGGACATTTGAGAGATTTGAGAGGCTTGAAGGACAACGCGCATAAGTGCAGTTTTTGCTGTTCCGAGGAATGTGTGTTTTAAGTTTCGAAATTTCATAGATCCTCATGTCGAAAAGTTCAAAGTGACTTTTTGATGCTTAAAAATTCGAATTTGAGAACGAATTTTTCACAGATTATGCATTAAGACTAGTTTTACTTGAAATATTCAATATCTTGGTATTTTTGTTTTTTGTTTTCAAAAACTGAACTTATGTGCCTTGTCTTCTAGGCCCCTCATTTTATTGGAGGAAATTTGGCAACTCTTGAATGTTCATACGGCGTTTTTCCTTTAGTACGGCAGAATATCCGGCACGGAACTCGAGTAAAAAGGTAAGTATCGGTCTATTTTTAATGGAACAGTGTTCCCGGGAGCGATTTTGGGAGCGAAAGAGGAGGGGGAGGGGGAGGGGCCTGAGCGCCCGGTCAAAAATGTATAAAAATGTTCGGCCGCAGGGAAAATGCGGCTGAGGAGGAAGGAAGCCTCGGTATTTGCTCGGACTCCTGTCTTCTCAGCTTCTGCGCGCTCAAATCCGGAGAAAAGACATGCCGGAGCGGTGTTTCAACTCAAGTTGGGTGCTTTTATTTCCGGAGGTGAGCGGGGCAAAAATCTTGGTCCACGCCGCGGCCGCGGCCGGCCCGGAAAGCTATTTTAATCGGCTTCCACACAAATCCAATATGCGGACCCTTGTCCTGCCCTGCAACCGCCTCGTTTCCCCGTCGTGTTGATCTTTTTCCCGGCAGAGCTTTCCCGACGTTGCCGCTTTGGTAGTCCATTTTTTGGTTGGCTCTTGAGAGTAAATTGGACGATTTTCCGGAGAATGCAACCGTGTGTTCGTTCCGCCTCCATCTCCGACCAGGTTCACTGCCCACTGACGATGCTGACCGCAAGAAAGTATCTTCCGAAAAGAAGAACAAAATATTGAAAAGATTCAATTTTAACCGAAGCGCAATTGTCAGGCTGGCAGAACCCGCCACGAAAAGTCATAAAAAATGATAACAATGGTAAATAAAATTTCTTTTCCTTTTTTTTATAGATTTGTCCGAGATGAGTTAACGATTACCAGGTAGATTTTTAAAGCTGATTTCGAATATGACCTCTTTTTTTCTAAGTCAGCTCGATTTTCCCCGGAAAAATCGTAAGCTTCCATTAAAATCGAGCTTTTTTTTAGAGAAAAGTCAATTTTTCGGAAAAATTTGTGTACGACGAAGAAAACCTGAGGTCATTCACGGAGTTGGCGTTAAAAATCAAATCGGAAATAGATAATACATCTCAGGCAAATTGACCCGTGTTACGTGTAATTTGCGAACCTTTTATTTTGCACC